GGAAAAGCATAGATAATTGTATTTTCTTAGGCAAGGCAATATAAAGTAATAATATCTATTTGTAGAAAAAGGTATTAAAAAATATATGTTGCATTATTGCTGTGAACATTTTAAGTTTCAAAAGTACTATTTGTTATATACAATATCTATATGTAATATTAGGTCTATATAAAATCAAAATTTAATAATTCAAAAAGTTTTCTATAAACTAATCATTTCTAATTGTTTCTTAATCAATACAATTACAAAATTACAAACCTTTTTTTTTATAAAGTACTATTGATTTCAAATCTATTATTGCAATTTTTCAGCATTAAAAAATTTAAATTTAAGTTGAATTAAGTCGAATTATAAGTTTTTTTCTAATTAATTAAAAATCTGTCTCTTTTTAGAAGAGAAAGAGGGTAATGTAAACTATAGAATCATGTTTGTTTTATTTAACCTAAGCATATTATATGAAATAAAGAGTTTTATACATAAGAATATATAAGACAATATTATATATAATAGCTATTAACTAGTATATATATACTGTATATTTATTCAGAAGTTTTATATATATTTAAATCTACACTTATATATTCATAATGAAAATTATACAACTTGAGAGATTAATAAGATGGATTTTTACTAAAATACTTTCTTTGCATTCTAGGATAGCCTGAAAAGTTTCAAAGCAAACATACTGTTTTTTTGTGTATAATATAATGCACTCCTTATGAGTTTAACATATAAAAATTTGTATAAACATATCATGCTTTGCAAAAAGATGTGGCCTTTTCAGATCACAATGTTATGCATGAATCAAAAATTCTATTAATTTTAAGAATTTTATCGATTTTGAAAAAATATAAATGTAACTGACCAAAAATATAAAACAATAAACAATCTAAAATCTCAGAAATTTTTCTTAATCATCATAACAAAAATCAAGTAGCCACATCTTTTTTGCAAAGCACTATAATAAAGAACTAGGACTTGGTCATACCTTTTTTGATACTGATATTACATATATATTACAAAGTTGTTTTTATATAGAATTATATAAAATTTTTATGTAAAACTATGTAAAATTTTTATGTAGCTTTACAAAACTTTATAAACCCAATAATTTTTATTTTAACAACTTTTTCTAATAATCCTCTAGTCAACAACAACAGCAAACTGAATTATAGAAAAACAATATAGGAATGTCCAAGAAAAATACTTCTTAGTCTTACCTTATAGTAATACAGTTGTTGACAAAGCTTGAAGACATGAAATACCGAGGAGCGAGTATACTTTAGGTAGTTTTTCTTGAGTTCAAGCCTTCTTCTGCTTGGGGGTGGACTCTCTAAGTTATTTGGCATCCAAACCAGAAGGGTTTGCTAAGAACTGATATTACTTAAGTGTAGATTGTTGTTGACAAAGTTTAGAAGATGTGATACACCAAGGAGTGGGCATAACTTGAACAGTTTTTCTTAGAGTCAAGTCTTTGCTAAATGGACAGACTCCTAAAGTTATTCAGCATTCAAACCAGAGGCTATTCTGGAAATAAGTAGTAGTCAAAAGACTCTTGCTGAGATAGTTGAAGCTTAAAAAATTGCCTATATAACTGTAGAACTTACAGAAGAACCTCACATATTTTAGTTGATCCTCTGCTTTTTTTTTGAGAAAAATTTTGTAAAAAAGTGACCGATTTAGCTTACTTCCTTCAAAAGATCAACATATTGTTATTTACCAAATCGGTTAGCATTGTTTACTTTTTTACATCACAACAAACACATGGATATGCATAGAATGTGAATATATGGATTACGTGCCTCAGAAGTGGCAATTCAAACAAACAATGCTTTAAGACTAATAGTATAGATTTCTGACTTCTTTAAGGTAATGATGTTGAAAAAGCCGATTTTTTTGCCTTCTATAGTTTTTTTGCTTAGATATACTAATTATATAAATTAGAGTAAAGACTAGTTTAGATGGTGTAGTATATAATTTTACAAAGTTTGACACAGGCTTATAATTGTCCATCCAGTGTAGGTATATTCCATATTTTTTTTTTATTTTCTCCTTTACTCCTTTATTTTCTTGTTTGTATCTTTTATCATTTTCTTTTATACCTTTGTGTTTTTTTTTTTTATAAAAATGTCATCAGATTGGTGATTTCCTATTGTAGAGCAGTGGTCAGACGAGCCCTTCGTCTAGGGTATTATCTTAATTGATTGTACCTCTGCAGTGCAGCAGATCACCTGTAGATACATGTAGGTGATCGGTTAGGTTATGAGAGGTAACTGCAGGATGTCAGAGTCAAAGTTTTATTATATTACATCTTTTACAAGATAGGCTTTAATAAACAGGAATCACTAATGCAACTTTGCTTAAGTGAAAAAAAAAACTTTATAAACCCAATATAGTGTTTACATATCTATTTATATAAGAATTTATTTAAAAATAACCATAGATGAAATTAACTGGTATATAGTTTTGTTTGTTTATTTCCTAATCAAAAAAATTTTTATTAACTTTAGGTTAGGGCAAGGACTATATTAGGGTTAGAGTGTTTATTATATGTAAAATTAAGCACTGAAAACTTTTACTTAATGATATGAAGTAAGTTTTCATAATAAAAATTTAAAATATTAATGTTTTTTGTTATACAAAGATCTTGCGATTTGATTGGCTAATCATTTAACCAGTGAATTTCTAACCCAAAGATATATGAACCGAATCTAAATTAATAATAGAAACCGTGCACACAATAATAACAAATTTATAAATAACCCAGAACCAAAAATCTTACTTGGACAACAAGTTGACTCGAACCAAATATTTTATTTACATTACGACAGACCAACAGGATCAGTATTAAATACAAATCAACCCGAATTAACAGTAGAACCAGAAACCATTAACGAATTAGATATACGAATTCGAAGAAACTATGCCTTAGAAGTATCCATAACAAGTTATTCACTCAATAGTATTTACATATTAAGTATTGTATATTCACAAAAAAATGACAGACAGACACTAGTATATATCTTTATTTACCCATATCCAGCACAAGAAAATATTATCGAACCAAAAATTAAAAACTCATAATCATTAAAACTAGTACAATTATGACCAAGCAATACAATTAAACTTAACACTTTGATATACAACAAAATTTGACCAAAATATTTAATGAAATAATATCTAATAACCGAATCAAAGAAATACAACTAAATCGACCACTACTTAATTATGATTCTGACTAAGAACCAAATTGCGACCGCATGCAGCCATACACAAATGACGAAATTCAAAAGTTAGAACAAAAAGTGGATAAACTCAAAACATACCAATTACAAAAAGCTCTATTATTGTATAAAAAGGAACTAATAGAGTACCAAAATAAAGGAAAATACTGTACCTAAATAGTATAGGACGGAAAATTAAGGAAGCACAAAAGAAAAATTTCCTAAGCATATTTCCAAAACATATGAGAACACAAATCCTTAATATGTTAGAAAGAAATCATCATGTGTATCGATTACAAAAAGAAGAACTATATGATCATATTCAAAATCAAATATTTAATTATCACGTTAAGCAGCAAGAAGAACGACGTAATACTACAATACGCAGGAAGGGAATAATTAAAATCCGACCATATGACGACCAAAATAGACTAAGTAACCAAATAGAAAACATAATACGAGAATAAAATAGAACAACAATTCGGCGATCAATGAAAGTCACGAGTAATCATAAAAAAGTTAAAGGACGACCACCGGAAAACAATAAGATCAACAAATTTGATTATTAAAATTACCCGAAAACCTACCCGGACAACCTCTTTTAGACCAATTTTACCTTTTTCAAATTTCCTTATTTGGAAGGATGTTAAAACGAAACAATTAAAGTTAAGGTTAGGGTTGTTCAGAAATTAGAGTTTGTGCAAGGGTTATAGGTAAAATTACTCTCTTGACATTTTTTATTAGTGCCCAAGAGAGGTTTAGACACTCATTTCTTGTATTTTTGAGTTTTTTGTTTTTTTTAAACAATTTTACGATTTGATTGGTTAATCTATGTAGATCACCAAATTTGATTGGTTAATTTATGTAGATCGCCTAAATAAGGAATTTGAAATATGGGTTGGTAAAATTGGTCCCTATTCTTCTAATACATTAATTATACCTATAAAAGGAGATTGAAATGTTTAGCTTCCCACGCCATACGCACGTATATACAAAATTTACGGTATAAACCTGATTGGGGTACAGCGAAGAACACAAATGTAGCTTATCTGAGTGTTTTACATAAGATGCGTACCCTCTTATATAAAATACAGTCGTCCCTCCATATTTTCACCTCCCATATAATCACATAATATGCAATCACATTTATATTAGGTCAAATTATGATTTAATTTATAATAAAAATTACCTCCATATAAACACAACTCCTTTATAAGCACATTTTGAAAAAATTTTACTGTGATTGTATGGGAGGATGACTGTAGAACAGAAATAGAAGAATAGATAGAATAAATAATAACATAGTACGAATAATTAAATTTTAAAATAGGAAAATCAGCATCTACATGTGCACTATTGATAAAAATATAAGTATTGGTAAGTGAAAATGCAAAAGGTGACAGTGGGCGTCGTGTGTATATGCGCACGAACACATGAAATCTATATTCAAAAAAATTCCATTCAATAACAATAGTGAACAATAAATGATAAATCAAGAATTCAACTCACTGGGCGTACATGAGGCACTTCAGCCGTTGATATGTATTGACAATTCCTAGTCTCATTTAAGAAATTTATTTTAATGATATTTATATAATTAAAAAGAAACCTGTTTTACTATAAAATTACAAATACAGGATGAAAATTTGCGAACGAGCGTTAAAGCATAAAAAGGTTGTGTTAAATATAAGGTTTCTGGATATTTTTATATATATAATAGGAAATATATCCTTACTTTTAATCTTAAATCTTTTTTACCTTAAATATTTCAAAATTATGGATAATAAGGAGATAATGGTAGACGAAAAATGGCATCCAATTCTAGGAGAAAGTGTACCCTTAACCGAGCCCCAACACTATGTTAAGCTCAGTAAAATTGTTAATGCTCCTCTATTACGCGCAAATCAAACAAATGGAAGCGTATCTTTGGTTCTTTCCTATATCCGGCAAAAAGTTAAAATGTGGGGAGCTGATATTCTTTTGGCTAAAAGTATCAGACAATTGATTGAAGAAGGGATTGATGATGACGATGATGATGATATCAATGATAGTGACGACGATGTTAAAGACGATAAAGACGATAATGATGATTCCAAAAAACGGAGGAATAATCAATTAACTCGGTTTGATTGCATTGCCAGCTTGCTTCTATCTGCCGAGTGTACTGTAATTCAGGATATGTTTCAAACCCTCTCACAATTTCCAATCGCCTTTCCTTTGGTAATTCCAGAATTGGATGAAGCAACAAAATTCAGAGTGATGCTCCCTTTTATCAAACGGGAAACAAAACCTGGGACAATAATTGAAAATCATCTTTTTAATAGCCAATTTAGAATGATTGTTGCTATTAGGATTGGAACAAACACACCAGGTAAAAGTACTATTCTAAATTTATTAATGTCATCAGATTCTATGTTCTCTTCGGCTGGTGAACCGGGAGCAGAATACGGAACACCACATATGATTGATGGAAGTATTGAATTTACTTGGTTGACCCAAGAAACTTGTGGAGTGTGCCTATGGAAGGATGTTTTGGAAGATTTCTATAAAGAAAATGATGAGATTGTATTACTTGCAAATTTACATGGTGATGCTTTTAAATATCTAGAACAGATTAATTTTTTAAAGCAATTTCCATCAAGTTTTTTGGTTTTTTTAATGCCTGGACATAAAGAAGAGCAAAAAGTGATTTTTGAGAGTTTAATTGATTACAAAAAAATTATATATTGCTATGTAGATTCGGGAAATAAAAGGCAATCAATTGATACTAAACAATTAACGAAAGACCAAACATTAAAAAAAGTGAGAAAGAAGTTCAAAGAAGCTTTAAAATTTGAGGTTTCGCCATTTGAAGCCAAAAATTTAAAGTTAGGAAGGTCGCTTCAGTTGGCTGAAGGGATTGAGTTCCCGAGTCTCAGCATTTAATTAATTTTATTAATGAGAAATCTTGTAAATATATCAAACTGAAAATTATGCTACTTCAAAGAGAACAATCTAGCGATGGCTACAAACTTTTTCAAACCAATCATGAATTGCAACATTTAATTATGTTATATATAAATACCTTGAAATTACCACTTGATAAAAGAAGACGAGCTTTAGCGCATATTGAAAAAGAAGTAGCCAGGATTTCTTCAATAGAATCTTCCGAAACCCGAAATATGGCTATGTTGAAAAGAGAAGAGCAACGTAAATCTGGTTTGCAAGAAAATGAGAAAAAAGTTAAAAATGAAATTGCAAAAATTTGGGAGGAAATTGATAATATGAGTTTAGGTCTAGAGCATTTCTTCCGTGAATTAGGTCATATTTATAAAATTATTTCTGTTAGAGATCAAAATACTGAAATTATGAAGTTGCCAGAACTTTATGCGGAACTTTTAATTGGTGGACATACTATAGAATTACTTGATGGTGATGCTGGAACTATATCTGAATCTCTGTTCTCGGCCATTTGCAAACACATCCATAAATTATATCCTAATCTTCGAATTTTTGTGGTGAGCATTCTTGGTTTACAATCATCTGGCAAGTCAACTCTTTTGAATGCACTTTTTGCATGTAGATTTGCAGTTTCAGTTGGACGTTGTACTAGGGGTCTTTTTATGCGGCTATTATTTTTAGATAAAGATTTATCTAATCAACTTGGTGTTGATGCATTTGTTCTGATCGATACCGAAGGCCTCGGGGCACCGGAAAAGATGAATGAACCAGAATCGAAAAAAAAAGACCGAATATTAGCAACATTTGCAATGGGAGTTAGCAATTTAACGATCCTTAATGTACTTGGAGAATCTACGCGTGACTTGACGGAAATTTTACAGATTGCCATTGTAACTATGGCACGCCTTGAAAAGGCAGATATAGCCCCTGATATTCGTATGGTACAACATGTTTCTGAACGAAATGCGGAAAAATTATCTGAGCCAGAACAGAAATTTCGAGAAGCACTCCAAGAAGCTTTAAAAATAGCAGACGAACAAGATACTGTGATGGGAATATCTAGCATGAAGTGTCTTCAGATTCTTGATGAAAGAATAAAAAAGGGTCAGCTTCTTAACCAATTTCGACCATTCAAAAATGGGGCAACTGCTCACGCTCCACCATCAGAACAATATCATGAAGATGTCGTTGATTTATATAATTCAATACTTGAGGATTGTAAGAACTCAAAAGGAAAAATTGAATTTGCAAAATGGAGTTCGTTAATTCCAAGTTACTGGAGAGCTGTCTCCAATGAGGATTTTGCTGTTCGATTCAAAAATATTAAAGAGATGTATGACTTCATTGAACTTAGTAAACAAATTGACAAGGTGAAGGAAGCTATTGAAGATGCGTTTTTCCAACACAAGGAACTGATTACGAAAAAATTGCGCTCAAAGCTCAGTGAATGGTCACAAGGTTATGAGAAGGATTCAGATCTTAAAAATAAATGCTCTGAATTGATTAATAAAGGGCTAAAGGATGTTCCATGTTGTAATAGCAATTGCGAGAAATGTAAAAACACATATAAAGAAAGAGAGAATTTAAGAAAGTATCTTAAAGCGAATAGGAAGGATGAAAAATGTGAAATGGAAATTAATCAAACTATTAATAATTATATTACACAAAATTATAATTCAACTATTAAAAAACTTACTCGAATACTCGAAGCTAGCTTTATTCGAAAAGGCCTTTCATCTGAATTTCTTAAAATAATTAACGAGAGCATGGAAAAAATTATAAGCAATATGAGGGGCAGCAAATTGACCGATAAAGAACGTAAACAAAAAGTTGAAGACATATGGAAGAAAATACGACAACATATACTGTATTATCAAAAGAAACTGTTAGACCGGTAACAGAACCAATAGATGAAGAAGTCAAAGTTGAATTTAATAATGTAGAACCTCTTTATAGCAGATATAAAAAAGGAGTTCTACCGGATTTATCTAAATGTCATGCATATAAATATATTGACTCCAAATATTTTTATATTTCTGACAGATATAATTTACGTTGTCCAGATGAGAGAGATGCTAGTTTACTTGAGAATGATCTTAATACGTTAACAGATATAATCTTAAAAAAAAGAAATTCTCAATATGTTTACCATGGGATTGTGCGTGATCTTAGAAACGAAATAGACAGAATTATTAATAAATTTTCAAACTTATGGAAAAAACAACTTATTCCTGAATTTAAATGGGATGTCCATTTATATGCTTTATTGATGTTTAAGACAATCATGAAAAGTTACCAAGAAAGATGGGAGGAGGAAAATAGCCCACTTTCTATATTTGATCAAAAGAAAGAGGAATATAAGAAAATCATTGATACCCGGCTTCAACATGGATTTTCGCTTGTTTCAGAAGCCCATATTATTGGGGACTATCTATTAAAAGTCGTTCATAAAAAAGCAATGAAAGCAGGAAATTTAGAAAGAATAAAGACAGTAAAAGATGTTGCGTGGATGACTAGCAGTGAACTAGTGAGACTTAAATATTTTGAGATGCTTGCAGAAAAGGTTCAAAATGGTAATAATGAAGAAGCTATAACTCACTTTGGCATTCCAAAAATAAGTATAGAAGATTGGTTTAAACGTAAAGTTAATAGTGTTGAAAGTAATGCAACTATTGCGTATAATGAAACTTATAAATCAGAATTTGAACAGGTTCTTCAGAAAATTCGTAACTGTCAAAGTTTAGAAGCAATTAAAAATTATGTAAATAATTATATGACAGAAGTTGATGGTGTAGATTACGAAGTTAATAATTTAAAAAAAGATAATAAATTCGAAACGCATCATATACAACAACTGCGTGATCACATTGCGAAGAGACTAAAAGAATATAATGATCCACGGTCAGAATATTTTCAGAATCCATCTGAAGATGAATCAATCATGAAGATGCTTGGATGTACTGAAACATGTTATTTTTGTGGTGCTTTATGTTGGGGATCTCGTGGTCATGATCAAAGAGCCGATGAAACGAAAAAACATCAGACCTGCCATCAACCTGGTGGGCTTGGTAATTTTAGAAGCCATTATTCAAATGAACTTCACGCACTACCATGCCACAAAATGACAGATGAATGGGATGTATGGTACTATGGCAGAAAGGATCCAACAAAATGGGGTATTGCAAAAATTCAAGATTTTTCGAAATGGATATTTGAGCCTCATCATAATGACCAATTTAATGACCTCATGTGCTGGTTCTTTGGAAAGTTGAATCATGAACTGGCAAAAAAACGGAATAGTGTACCCGCATCCTATGATGAATTGAGAAAATATGGCTGCATAAATTTGAATTATGATACTATCATCAGTACACTTAAAGTAAAAATAAATAATTAATAACCAATAATTAGCGTTAAAAACCTATTAAGATTGTAGGGTTATTCATCTATTATCTTCTACTTATTATCACAGGTTTGAAACTCGTTAGTTTTATATTCAATTTATTAAATTCATTCATTGCTTGTGAAAATAATTATATATTTGATTATTACATGAAATAATATGCATAGCGAGCAAAAAATATATAACTGAATAAATATTCATATATTATTCGTATCGTCTTTTTTGCATCTTATAATACAGGTCGTTTGTAAAGGAAACAAAACAAGGTGTCACACTAATGCAATGAAACTTGAGAAATATGAATGTTGAGAGTAGTATTCGAGTAGGAAAAACAATAACAACTCATATTGTGCTAAGAAATGTGAAGATTTCTTGAATGCTAAAAAAACCAAAGTCACTATAATTTTATTATTACACTTATTACACTATTCCAATAAAAGCAGATTTTAGTTTTTAATATTGTATGAAAAGTATTACACGCACGTGATATATTTATTATTAGTTGGAGGCAAGCATCTGGCCAACAGTGCCAGATGTTAAACTTTATTAAATGATTATTAATTGAGAATATGCAGCGATTGATGTACAAACTGAGACGGGATATACGCCCAGAGATAGCAACTATAATTGCGCCGGGTATTACCGTCATCAGCAGAAATTTGTGATGTGTAGCATTAGTCGGTGGTTTCCCGCACTGCATAAAGCAGGCCGACTTGAT